CTGGGCTTCAGGACCATGAGTTTCAGATTCGACATCCTGATTCTCCTGCCCTGCTTTACCAATTTCGATTAGGAGATGAAAAACTCCAGGTAACTTATAGGTGTATATTTCCATGGGTACAAAGAAAGTTATCCAGGCCAGTCAAACTGAGGGAATATGCACTTGCTGGAAACACTGTGAAATCAGAATGTCAACTGGTTGTAGATTATCCACTGAACCAATATTTAAGCCACTGGTAGAGTATAGACTAGAATGGATCTGAAGAACATCTTTCTAGTTAGCCACTATATGATGAGTTGTTATTTAGAGAGAAAGGTATCATTCTTATTAAGAAATTATGAAGTAGATGATGAGGTACTTTATATTTGCTTTGAGATTTCTCTCATATGGTGACATATCACCCATCTAGTTGGGTGATGAGTGAGTTTTCTGGCCTGTGGTACACCAGAGAAACAATGTGACTCCCAAAAGGGAATTAAACAACAACTAAACACTGCCCAGCCTAACTTAGAGAATCTGATCAGCCAGTTTTGTTTTTAGAACAGAATTCAGTGGATCAGTTTTTTTTAGGAGGCAGTATCTTTTGTTGATCACTCTTTTCCTTCCGTGCACAGGCTCCAATGGCTTTGTTTTACCCAGCAACTTTTGGAATTGTTGGACAGAAAATGACGACTTTGCAGCACAGATCTCAGGGCGATCCTGAGGATCCTCATGATGAACATTACCTGCTGGCCACACAGAGCAAGCAAGAACAGGTCCGTAGCAATTCTGGTAGAAGAAGAGAGAGTTTTGTCCCTGAAGGGAGAAATCTGTGCAGAGTTAATAGGCCATTGCAGTCAGTGCAATCTTCCAGCACACTAACACTGATATAGCTTTTAGAATTATAGATGAACAGAAGTCTGATTTTAAAATCTGGAAGATTGATTTCTCTATTCAGCAAACATCAATTTTCTGAATGCTAGTCCATACATTTAAAAGTTAATGACACTTTCCTTTTGATGTATATCATTTACTTACATTATTTACTTCTGAATATTTCTTCCAGTAGTATTTTCATTAAAATCTCACCTATTACTTAATTTTGTGAAAGGTGCGTGGCACAGCCAAAGAGCTGAATTCCTTTGTTGAAAGCAGATCCCCATAATACGATGTCTGGTACAGGGGCACAAATTGAAGGTGTTGACTACTAATGAAACAGCACCAGCTCATGATGGAGACTAGATTTTTCTAGTCTTTGTTCCTGCCCAGAGGCAAGCATGAAGCAGACAGATAGGATCTTAAAGTAAGAATTCCTTAACAGTCATGGCCCATGAATCCCACTAGAATTCTCCACTTAAAAACTCAGGGTATGGGGAAGAAAGTCTGTTTGCACTGGCATTTCACTTTTAAAATCTAACCAGTGATGATAAGGTTCTGAGAGCTACCCTGCCTACCAGAGACTGCTTTGGAATGGTCAGAGGATCGTCATCTGTGCACCGTCTCTCATTACTAAGTTACCTGGGAATGGGTGCTGGGCAGTTATTGTATTGCAGTGGTGACTTTTGTTTTATAGGAGCGCATAGTAGGAGGGTAGGGAGGAATCTAACTAGACAACATCAACAGTGTTCTGTTGTAGTAATACCACCTATTTGGTTTTCCTTTTGATTTAAAGTCTGCAAAAGCTACTGCTGACCGAAAGTCTGCATCCAAGCCTATTGGATTTGAAGGGGATCTTCGTGGCCAGTCCTCTGATCTTCCAGAAAGACTCCATTGCCAGGAGGTAGATTTAGGGTCCTCACAGGGAGATGGCCTAATGGCCGGCAACGATTCCGAGGAGGCCCTCACTGCACTGATGTCCAGGAAGACTGCCATCTCGCTGTTTGAAGGGAAAGCCCTGGGCCTGGATAAAGCCATCCTTCATAGCATAGACTGCTGTTGTAAGCACATCTGGGGAGACCGGGGGATAGTAGTGAAACAAGACACCAGTGAAATGAATTGGTTGAGTCTGGAATGTACTTGTGCAGTGTAACATATTCATTGAAAAATGATCAAGCACCTACTTGGCTTGCATTGCCAGGTGTTGGGAATACATTAATGAAGTAGAATGGGTTTATAGCCTAGTGGAAGAGAGCAAAATAAGTCACATTATTACATAAGTGTGAAATTACCACTGGCAGAATACTATTAAATAGTCAGTGCCCTTCAGTGCAACTTTGTAGCACCTGCCAGTGGTAATTTCACATTTGTGTAATAATTTGCAGAATTTTATATAGAAACTTCACTTACTAGGGGGTGGTATGGAAGGGGGGAGGCAGGGTAAACTTCCTTGAGGAAGGTACTTCTTGAGAGAGATGTCAGGGATGAAAGGGGGCAGTTAGCAGTCACAGATGGGGCAGAGGAAGAAGCCTGTGAAGACCAGTGTGGCTGAGAAGCAGGGTGTGAGATAAGGTCAGAGAATCAGGTGAGGACCACCCACAGTAGACTTTGTAGGTCCCTTTAAAGATTTTGATCCTAATCCTACAAGTAGGATTGCAGTGGCATGGTAACACACCCACATTTGTGTTTTGCAGGGTTCCTCTGGCTGCAGTGTGGAGGGTGGGCTAGAGGGAGATCTTTGAGAAGCCTATTGCACTTCCCAAAGCAAGAGGTGGTGGCTTGGCCTAGAATTATGGATGTGGAAAAGAAGCATGGAGGGTGTCACTGTCTTTTCAGCATCTGATGATACCAAAAAGAAGATGTACAGCTCCATCCTAGTGGTGGGAGGTGGTTTGATGTTTCATAAAGCTCAAGAATTTCTGCAGCACAGAATTCTCAACAAAATGCCACCGTCGTTCAGGCGAATTATTGAAAATGTGGATGTGATCACAAGGCCTAAGGTAGGTTGTTTCTTGGTGCATGTTCAACTGTATGCAAATGAAACCAGCCTCCTATGTGGACAGATCAAATCCTGGGAGGCGTGGGCTTGTGTCTGAGGAGTTCTTGAGGGTTTAGGGCAAGTGGAAAAATTAATTTCAGCAAGCCATAGAAGTGGTGGAAGGAACTCTGGCCTAAGGTACGGGTTTTCTGCTCCTTTCCCCTGCCATGCTCCCCAAACTAGCGTGACTGAATTGCACCTTTGTTAAAGGACCAGGTTGGGGAAGGGGAGGACCAACTGCTCTCGTGCCCTGCCAGCCAGAACAGCTCCATTTTAATCTCTTCTTTATATTAAAGATCTACTCCTGGCTCCTGGACCAGATAATCTTTAAATATCTTTTTTGGTTTGAACTTCTTGAAAAGAAAGAGAAACCCAGGAATTGATAAATAGATTATGTGTACGTTTTATTAAGTCTCACTGACAATTCCTGGAAATGTTCATATTTCTAATCCTAAGGGAGGGATTGTGGTGGTCTATTTATTCCACTCAAACTTAGAAATAAGTCATTTCTTTATGTTCCTGTTTACTGGACCTGGGTATTTGCGCAATAGTAGTAAACAGTAGCGTCTTTAGTTATAAAAATTTAAAGGTTTTCTTGGCTATTGAAACAAACATGATTGTAGTTCTTAAGTCCTACTGTCTTTAATACAGGATGTATTAGTAAGCCTGGTTTATTAAGTATTGACTCAACAGGGATTTTTCTTGGTCCCACATTCAAGTAAATGAGGCTGAAATGTCTTCATCCCTTCTCTAGGACATGGACCCCCGGCTGATTGCATGGAAAGGAGGGGCAGTGTTGGCTTGTTTGGATACAACACAGGAGCTGTGGATTTATCAGCGAGAGTGGCAGCGCTTTGGTGTCCGCATGTTACGAGAGCGGGCTGCTTTTGTGTGGTAAATGGGGAGGAAATGTCACCATCAAAGACCAAAAACAAGGTTCTTGGTATAAAAGACTTACAGAATATATGTTTTGTAATTTATTGATGTAGATGCTTAAGTGTCATGGACAGTAAACAAATTTCAACTTTATGTTGGGGACATGACATTGGTTTCAAATTATACAGTGCTTTTGAGCAGTTTAGTCAGGGCATTTGAGAATAAATAGGAACTCATTCTTCAGTTGTAAACTCTCTTGTCCTCTCTCAGGGTCTCATAAACTCCCCAGTGATGAAAAAGTTGCTATTGAAGGTTCTTATGTGGTGAAGCCCTTCATTTAAGTTGGTTCGTGAGTCTCATCAGCAGGCAGCCTCGTGTGGATGGCTATCAGGGGTAGTGTGTCATGAGGGAGAACCGTCCACTCATGCCATTTTCTCCCTTGTCTAGTGTTTCATTAGGATCTAATGTTGTCTTGAGTTAAATGCACTTACGACATGACTCGTGTCCTCTTAGAATCCCAAATAGGGGGAAAAGTTTTGGTTGTTTTTTTTTTTCCATTTTCTGTTGGATTACAGAAAAAAAAAAAAATGGGACCCATTCAAGTCCTGTTTCCAAAGGTAAAGATTGTGTATTCCCTACTTTTGTTATCTTAAAAACAATGATTTTTTTTTGCATGTAACAGAAGGTTTTTTCACCTAAGATGCTATTGAGTGGCCGGGCGCGGTGGCTCAAGCCTGTAATCCCAGCACTTTGGGAGGCCGAGGCGGGTGGATCACGAGGTCAAGAGATCGAGACCATCCTGGTCAACGTGGTGAAACCCCGTCTCTACTAAAAATACAAAAAATTAGCTGGGCATGGTGGCGCGTGCCTGTAATCCCAGCTACTCAGGAGGCTGAGGCAGGAGAATTGCCTGAACCCAGGAGGCGGAGGTTGTGGTGAGCCAAGATCACGCCATTGCACTCCAGCCTGTGCAACAAGAGCGAAACTCCGTCCCAAAAAAAAAAAAAAAAAAAAAAAAAGATGCTATTGAGTGAATCAGTGAGGTGTTCTTAGATTTAGTATTCATGAATTAAACATAGAATAGTTAAACTGTTCTGCCTACTGTGTTGGTATTGAAGGTTCTCATGTGGTGAAGCCCTTCATTTAACTTGGCTTGTGAGTCTCATCAGCAGGTAGCCTCATGCAACCACTGCATGATCCTACTGCAATGCATGGACAATGCAAAACGAGATGTTTGGCTGGAAGACACTTTATTGCTGCATTATCAAAATGGTTATAGTTTTCAATTATAATTGTAATTCATTTCTATGTATAAAATTGATATAGCTTTGAAGTTGTAAATGTAGTTTCTTTAGTTAATGCTACTAGTCAATTCTTTAGTTAATGCTAGTTAGCAATATTTGAAACAATTTTATTGGCATAAAATGTTTTAAGGCTATTTGTAGGCTGTAGAGTGAGCTTCAGGATCATCACAGACACTTTTTTTTCCCCTGTAATTGGTGGGATAGGAAGCTTTTAAGGTCTCTTGCGTCTCATGGGTACACTATAAGGAGCAGCAGCTGTTGTGGCAGGCTTGTGATCTTTTTCCCACTGACACCTGCTGCTTGACGTGGAGAAGTTCTGCACAGAAAGCAGTGGTATCCTTCATGAGGTGGTACTTGGGGCAGACACTGAGAGCATCATAATCATCTTTGGTATCAGTCTCTGTAAAGTAGACCACCACATATTTGTGCAGATGAGTCTGGCTTCTTAGATCACTGCAGAAAAGGTTAAAGGCAAGGGGGAAGAGGTCTTGAGAGTTTTCACTGGGGTTGCCCTCAGTCTTGTCACAGGTACCATCACACACACTGTTGATGTCATTGGAAAGAAGGAAGATGACTTTGTCCACTGCCTTCTTTTGAGCAGCAAGCCACTGCACTGGACCCATCTCTGCTATTTTCTTTTTCTGCCACTTTTCAAGGATGACCTCACTTCTGCACTGGTTTTGAAGAAACTCAGTGAAGTGACAAACTGTGTGATGGAAACATATTTCAGATGGGTAAACCACAAGAACCTTAATGGGGGGCAGTAGCGTGGTGGTGGAAAAGGAAGTCTTCTTGATCCTTTCTGTTGGGGGAGAAAAGCATTTGTTATCTGTGAATAGCAAACAGCAGGCTTTCACTCTGTGTAGACCATTCCTGACAAATGATCCCCTCCTAGACAATGTCAGCTGAGCACTAAGGGCCTTGTTAGTGACAGCAAGGAAAAACATCCTTAATGTTCCTTTTGAACACATCACCTGAAATACACTGATGCTTATACTTTAACTTTTAAACCTTATTTTAAAAGAGGTATTTTCTAAGTCCCTCTCACTAAACAATCCTCTCAACTAAGCCTTCTCTTTTCAAATAAATTCATAGAAACTTTAGATTTAAGATACTTTGTTGACCAGGTGCAGTGGCTTACACCAGTAATCCCAGCACTTTGGGAGGCCAAGGCTGGAAGATCACTTGAGCCCAGGAGCTGAAGACCAACCTGGGCAACATAGTGAAACTTCATCTCTACAAAAAGTACAAAAATTAGTTGGGCATGGTGGCACATGCCTGTGGTCCCAGCTGCTCAGGAAGCTAAGGTGGGAGGATCACTTGAGCCTGGGAGGCAGAGGTTGCAGTGAGCCAAGATCACACCATTGCACTCCAGCCTGGGCAACAGAATGAGACCCTGTCTCTAAATAAATAAATAAACAAAAGATACTTTGTTTGTGGTGGGTGATTGTAACTGCAGTACTTTAGTGCTGTACATGAACAGCGACACTTGACCTCTGCACTTCACATTTTAAGTTGGGCCAATAGTTGCTTATACCATCTTCTACTTGCAGGTGGTAGAGTTTCTTTATAGTTCCCAAAGTTAAATGGCACCCCTTTTCAGACCCTGGGACTTACCTGGAATTCTGCCCTATATGGTGTGCTATAAAACAGAAACCATGTTTGAAACTACTGTAATGAATACAGGTCGGACAGCATACCCTAAATTTAAGTATTCCTGAGATAGAAGTGCCCCTGTGGCTTTCTTAGGTTAGAAAGAACATGGAGTTAATCTCGTTCTATTTACAACATCACAAACATCTCAAAGGATGCATTTATATTTCCTTTTCTACATATGGAGAAGTTTTTTTAATAGGTCTACCCCAAGCTGAGTATGTAAATACTCTGGTTTCTGTATTCAAATATTCCATGTTTTAAAGTTGGCAAAGTCCTTAGTACAGCTGACCCTTGAACAACACAGCGGGGAGGGGCACTGGCCCTGCATGCAGTTGAAAATCTTGTATAACTTTTGATTTTCCCAAAATTTAACCTCTAATAGGCTACTGTTGACCAGTAGCCTTACCATTAACATAAACAGCCTGTTAACACATAATTTTGTGTGTTATATGTATTATATGCTATATTATGATAAGGTAAGCTAGAGAAAACAATGTAATTAAGAAAATCATAAGGAGGAAAAGATATTTACTAATTCATTAAATGGAAGTGTACCATCAGAAACGTCTTTATCCTTGTCATCTTCACGTTGAGGAGGCTGAGGAAGGGGTTAGCCTTGCTGACTTAGTGGTGGCAGAGGCAGAAGAGGTGGAAGAGGCAGCAGGAGAGTTAGGTGCCTCAGTGTAACTTTACAGAAATAATACATCATTTCTGACTTTTTTGCTTTTTCATTTTTCTAAAATTACTTGTATGTGGTACCAATCCTTCCTCCACCATTAGCTTTAGGTTTAATGCCCATGTCATAGAAGGGTCTGTGTTATAAAAGAAGTGAAAAGCCATCTTGACTAATCAGAAACCTGCCAGGTTGTTTAATGTCAATTTGTTTTTTGGCACTGCTTCTGCGTAGTCTTCATCATCGTCTCACACTGATTGGGAAGCACTCATTTCCATCAGATTGTCTTCTCTTTGTTCTTCTGGTGTGGTTATCTGTTAGCTCTTGAATTTCTCCAAGATCCACATCTTGAAACACTTTACCTCCCACCTTTTTTTTTTTTTTTTTTTTTTTTTTTGCCACATCTACAGTCTCTTTCATGATTTCATTGATTGGCTCTGTTGTAAATCCTGTGAAGTCATGCACATCATCTGGACGGTTTTCTCCTGCAGGAATTTATTGTTTCAGGCTAAATGGTTTTCATGGCTTGTTCTGTCACAATGATGGCATCTGCAGTGATGTAATCCTTCCAGACTTCCATGTTGTTCTCTCTGTTGGGGTTCTCTTCCATAGTGTTGACAATCCTTTCCATAAAGTATTGTGTGTAATGAGCCTTGAAGGTCCTTATGGCCTCCCAATCTAGAGGCCAAATTATGTTGCATTTGGAGGCAAGTAGACCACTCTGAGGACTTTGGTGCTAAATTCATGGTGTTCTGGTGGCTGGGGCATTGTCCAATATCGAAAGAACTTTAAAAGGCAGTTCCTTCCTGGCAAGGTACTTCTGACTTCAGGGGCAAAGCATCAATGAAACCAATCCAGAAAAAGTTTTCTCACTGTCCAGGCCTTCTTACTGTACAATCAAAAGATTGGCAACTGGTGTTTATCTTTTCCCTTCAAGGCCAGGGGATTAGCAGTTTTATAGATAAGGGCAGTCCTGATCATAAACCCAACTGCATTTGCACAAAGCAGTCCAGTTAGCTTGTCCCTTACTGCCTTAAATCCTGATGCATGCTTCTCTTCCTTACTAATCAGTGTCCTTTGTGGCATTTTTTCCCTAGAACACTTTCATCTGCACTGAAAACCTGCTGAGGCAGATGTCCTTTCTCTTCAGTGATTTTCCTTTTTTTTTTTTTTTTTTTTTTTTTTTTTTTTTTTTTTGAGACGGAGTTTCACTCATGTTACCCAGGCTGGAGTGCAATGGCGCGATCTCGGCTCACCGCAACCTCCGCCTCCTGGGTTCAGGCAATTCTCCTGCCTCAGCTTCCTGAGTAGCTGGGATTACAGGCACGCACCACCATGCCCAGCTTATTTTTTGTATTTTTAATAGAGACGGGGTTTCACCATGTTGACCAGGATGGTCTCGATCTCTTGACCTCGTGATCCACCCGCCTCGGCCTCCCAAAGTGCTGGGATTACAGGCTTGAGCCACCGCGCCCGGCCAATACCACATCTTTTATGTTTGTTCATGTTTCTCTCAACTGTGAATGGTGCCGTGTATAGTTGGTATGTGTATGTTTAAGTTTTGATAAATTTTTAACTTTTAATAATTTGTGTATATTTATGGTAGCAAATGATAAAGTAGACTAGTATCTGCATACATTTTCTGCATTTATGACAGAAATTTATGAAAAAAATTAATTTTTTCAATATTTTTATTGAAAACTAAATTCAACTGAGTTTCATCTAAGTTTTTTCAAATTGTTATGGATCTCCAAAAAATTTTCCAGTATATGTATTGAAAAAATCCAAGTGTAAGTGGATCTGCGCAGTTCAAACCTGTGTTGTTCAAGAGTTAACTATATATGAATCCAAGTGAAGGTTTTTCTTACACCTCAGAACTGTTTTTTAAAAAACAGGAACTAGTATAGAGTAACCATCACAGGTGAAGGGTAATTTTTTGTCAGCCATCTTTTGCGCATTTCAATACTGGTAGGTGACTCAATGGTAAAAATAAAAATGGGACAGTCAGAAGATCTGGAAATCTTTACCCTGCTTTCACCTGGCATGTATAATCTAGTCATTCTCCTATCAGTCTCCATAGAAGCGCTTGAAGGTATTAAATAAATGCTGTCTAACTCTAGGAAATGCCAACATATGATTGCCTCCAGAGGAATCTTCTTGAAAAAGAAAATTCAAAATGTCATTTCCTTATTAGGATATCTTTAAAGAATTATAACCCTTACCGTGCCTCCATATTAGATAGATCCCTGCTGCCAGCACCCATGTGGCCACCAATATAGATGGCAGGAGGAAAGGCAGCCAGCCTCCCAGGTTGCTTCTGTCTGGAGAAAACAAAGCTTATTCACTTTTGGAAAACAAATCCACACTCATCTCCTACTTAAAAACTAAGATTTTTGTATGCTTTGTAGAGGTTTATTTATTATTTATTTATTTATTTTTTGAGACAGTGTCTCACTCTGTCGCCCAGGCTGGAGTGCAGTGGCACGATCTCGGCTCACTGCAGCCTCTGCCTCTCAGGTTCAAACAATTCTGCCTCAGCCTCCTGAGTAGCTGGGATTACAGGCATGCGTCACCACACCCAGCCACTTTGTAGGGGTTTAGATCCCTTTAAAACCATCAGTGAGAACCTCTTTAGTGAGTCTGCCAATCATAGCTTTTTCCCTAGAGTGTGCAGGTCTGACAGATTCTCAAAAGGGATATGGACCCAGGAAGTTAAGTACAGTCCTGAAATCTCTTTGGCTTCTTTATCCTGATGTGCACTGGCATTTTTACAGCAGGAACTAGGGTTTCTGTCTGGTTTTTTTGTCCTTTAAGGAATTAATGTTACTCTGAGTACAACTGCTTATATACATAGCACATATAGATGGCATTTTTACAGGCTGTCTTGTTAGACATCCATGGAGGATAATGCCACATGCCTCATCAGCACATCAGATAAGCTCAGGCACAACGTGCTCAGGAATCCATAAGGCTTCGCCCACACAGAAGTCAGGACTGCCAGGCACCTAGGTTGTCTTCACTTCATTTGGCTGAGTCTAATGACACTTTCCAACTTTTGATCCCACCCCAGGGCTAGTTGTGTAAACACTGTATTTCTCCATCTGTAATGAAAAAGCTAACACATCTCTTAACTCCAGAGACACTTTCCGGAACATGCCGTTCTCAGGCACTGGTAAGGCGTGTCTTTTGGTGCCATTATTCTTCATTTGTTATCCAAATGTTGGCCATGTGACCACATCAACAGAATCCTGGGCCACTGAGACTAGTAAAAGAATCAAAATATAGCGAAATATGCATTCTTTTATATATCCAGTCATCTTACACCTTAGCTGTTTTCAGCAGATCCTTGTGGCACTCAGAACATACATTGTGCACTGTGTATTTTTTTTTCCTTCTGTATATCCTGCTTTGTAAAGAGTCATGAGTGGTTTTACAAAGCCTGTTCTTACTCAGATTACACGTTCTCTAGGACAGCACTGTTGGCTTTCTCTGCATGCCAGTTCAGTGTACACAGGCAGGGGCCCCTCGTACTGCCTACATACACCCTGTCACATACTGAGTGGGGGGCAGTGACCGTGTGTCCCGAGCCCCTTCATCATCCGGTGCAAGTGACAGGGCACTTACTGTTATCCAGAGGGAAAGGGACGCCTGTCTGTGGGCAGAGCACCACCTTTCCTTTGTGCCGGATGCAGTCGGTGCCACAAGTAGGAAAATACGGAGTCAGCTGAGGAAAAACGAGAGGCTCAGAAAGCTCACACCATGCATCAGAGTAAAACCTCTTCACAACTCCTACTTCTGCCAAAACTTCCCTTCTTTCCGGCTTCACCCCTACCTCTAGTGTCGTCATGCACTTTCCCCTTGGTCACACATCTATAACAAAACCCTAATGTCAAAACCAGTGACCCAAAACCCACATGCCTACAACTCCCAGATTCTGAACCTAAACTTTGTACATGTTACTAACATACCGGTTCCCTTATCTAAAGGGCTAGGTTATATCTTACCACATAGACAAACATTCCTCTAGAGAAAAGGAGCAGCAGTGATCGTGTTGGCTTCCTTTAGCCAGTGCTTTAGGACATGCAAGTCCCTGTAGTTAGGGAAGCCTGTGGTTCCCCAGAAAAGCAGAGTAGCCATCATAGGCTGGCCCCTCTGGCATGTCTGAGCACTTATATTCCAGGGAACGAAGCACGGAAGTTCCTTACTCTTTGGGGAGTGGCTGTGTACCACTGGACCTCCTGTATCCCCACCTCAAAAACTAGAGTTGAAAGAGACCTGCTGCTCAAACTTCCTGTTTTCCAGCTGGGCCTGCTGCAGCAGAGAGGATGGGCAGCCCCTTTCCAAAGTTCACACACTTACTGGAACTCAAACCTTCCCATTTCAAACCCTTTGCGGCTTCGCCTTGCAGTTAAAGGTTCGGGGAAGTAAAAAGGTACTGCTATTCCTGAGTGCCTGTGACAGAAAATGGAAATAACAAGTGCTTTGGAAGGTCAGCAGCCATTAATACAAGCAAAAGGGACCATGACCGCCACGTTGGCCTTCTGACCTTGGCACTGCAGAGGCTGCAGCAAAGGAGACCCCATTAATGCCACTTAATTCATGTCTGTTGGCAGAAGTGCATTTGAAAGGAGAGAATTCATCCTTAAAAAGCAAAGAATGGTGGAAGTCTTCTATGTCCCTTCCCTCCCCAGAACAGCTCACTGAACCTTACCTGCACCACAGCACCTTCACTTTCCCCGGTCACTGGAATCACCACTGAAGCTCGCGCTTGTTCGTTCTGGTATGGCTAAGAGAGACGGTCAAGAATTATGAGGTGCTGGGCGCAGTGGCTCACGCCTGTAATCCTAACACTTTGGGAGGCCGAGGCGGGCAGATGGCTTGAGCCCAGGAGTTCCAGACCCAGCCTGAGCAACATGGTGAAACCCTATCTCTACGAAAAATGAAAAAATTAGCTCAGCATGATGGCATGTGCCTGTAGTCCCAGCTGGAGGCTGAGGTGGGAAGATCACTTGAGCCTGGGAGGTAGAGGCTGTAATGAGCTGTGACTGTGCCACTGCATTCCAGCCTGGGCAACAGAGTGAGACCCTGTGTCAACCCCCTCAAGTAAGAATTATGAGGCACATGAGTGAGTAGATCCAAGGCTTCCAGCAAAGCAGCTTTGCTTCCCAAACGGACACTATTCACTAGACTGTGTGAAGAAGGGCTCATTTCCTGCTTCGGAGACTTCTTTTTTCCTGTGGTTTGAGGGTCACAGTAACATCTCTCAGGATGCCCACAGGGACTTGTTTTTATCTGTTGAATTCATCAAAATAGCCCAGCATGTTTGGACAACATCATCCCCATTTTCTGTCAACACACTAAGGAAAGCTAGAGGGAGGGGTGAAGGGGATGAAGAGAGAAAGTACCTCTAACACCTGAGAAAACCCAATGACGGTGCTGTGTTGGATAAGAGCCATGTATCTGTTTCCAAGGGGACTGGTTGTGAAGTTCACTTCTACCGTCTCATTCTTCTTACAAGCAGTGATGTTCGGAGCCCATAGGCTTCCTGTGAGTTGAGAGAGAACCATGTGGATGAACTTGCTAACTCTTACCTCAAGTTCTCCACAGGGCTTTATAGAAACGAATCCAAGTTCTCAGGAACAATGTCCAAGAGACAGGGACGCTGCTACACAGTGAACTTTTTATCATTGTTTCCAGAGTCTCAAAGTAGTTGCTGCCCAAGACAGTTTGGGGATCCGCACATCAATGCTTTGCTAAAAACAGCTTCCCTGGGCTGAGGGTAGTGCGAGGCACAGATTGGTTCTGCTACTCACTGCTATTCTCAACCCCTCTTTGGAGTTAAGGGATAGGTCAGTATTTTCTCCCTCCCAGGAAGGGGAGAAGGAGCCACGGGTTAGAAAACGTCTAAGATTATAGAGCACGTGAATTCACAATCAGGACTACAACCACAAGAATATTCTGTGTTCCAGAAGCTTCATCCATCAGACCATTCTGCCAGCTTCACTAGATGGAAAGAAAGAAGGAACTGGCTTGTAGCTTAAAGGATATACCCTGAAAGGTCCACTCTGGCAGAAATAGTCAGTTGTTTCATTCATGTGACTTGCAAATAAGGACTAGATTGATTTCCAGGAACACAATGTAAACAGCAGAAATTATCTTCCCCACCGAGGAGACCGTTTCAGGCCCTAGCTCAGAACTGTCTTTAGGAGTTCAGGCCCAGGGCTGACCCAAGGCCCTCTGACCTCCTCACACCTGTGGTATCCTCTGTACCCTCGGTGGGAAGCTCAGCATCCAAATCCACCTTCTAGCAAGGACAGCATGCACAGCTGTCTGATGACATACGAGGGATGCCTTGTGGGGTGAAGGGTGTCTAAAAGTTCTGGACTGATCCAAATACCACTAGCCTCATTAGCATTCCAACACTATATTACTCAGAAATTTACACAAACCCTTGGAAATTAGGCACTAGAGACTGATAATCCTAAAGGGGCTTATTACAAAATTCAAGGGGTAAAATTCACTGGCCTCTGCGAAAAGCAATCCTCTTTGAGGACACAAGTTGAAAGCATACTTCTGGGCCAGTCCTTTAGCGAACTGACACTCCCACCTTGAATGTTTGCTAATCCAAACAGAAGGTTCTTAGGGTCCCCATTGCCACAAGTGGGTGGTGCTGGTGTCTGAGCAAGTGGAAGGGCTCATAGGACTCCCATCCATCAGGAAGAGCCTTTGACTGGCACCACTGAGCCATTTGGGCTAAAATGTTGTTAACCAAGGGGGTAGGGGTGGTTCTTTGTGACTGTTGCTCCGCTATGTAAATGTGCTGAGGGTCTATCCCTTCCTGGACAGGCTGCTCCACTCAGTGGGCAAAGTGCTGGCAGGAGATGAGGAGCTCTAGGTGCTTCTGCCGCCACCATCAGGGTGACTTGGATATGCAACTCTCCCCTAGGCCTCAGTTTTTTCATCTGTGCAAAGATGAAGAGACCTATGCTGCCTCAAGTTACACATTTCTTCAAATAATAAAAGCAAATGCTGTATTTACTTACCAGCCTTGACACATTTCTTTTTATATTTCATTATGTGGTCTAGGCAGCCTGGAAATTTAAATGAAAGTTTTTACATTTTAGAAAAAGGTATCTCTGCCCCACCCCCCTTGTCAACAAGTACATACACACATACGTATACCACACCTGTAACAAACTGCCAAAACATTCCAGATGTAAGATAGCAAATTCAAATGTGGCTCTAACATTTTACTGTTAAACAGAAGATCATCCTCCCATGACTTGGTAACCAAAGTCTAATTTAAATACAGCCTTTATTGAAACAGTATCTTTGATACCTAAGAGAAAACTTGAAAACCATCCACCATTTGAAAATGACATTTGGTAATATCTGTAGACACTGCCTGCCCCTTCTAGGTGTGAAGCCTAATATTTCCATACCTTCACTTCAGGGTGGGGTAGAATTAGTGACTTGTTTCCAAAAACGAGAGTTGGGAAAAACAGTAGATTTACATGGAGAAGGCTGGCAGGCACCACATTAATCTAGTGTTGAGGTGACCCTCACCTGGTGTCATCTGGGTGCCATACGCCCCTGATGGGATGCATTAAGAAGGGCACCTCTGTGGTATGAATTCCCAGTCCAATCATTAGACAAACATCAGACAGACCCAAACTGGGGGACATTCTACAGGATGCCTGGCCAGAACTCAAGACTGTCAAGGTCCTGAAAAAGACTAAGAAACTTACAGACCAGAGCAGACTAAGGCTACACAAAGGACTAAATGCAACTGGAACAGAAAGAGGACATTCATGAAAAAGCAGGTGAAATCCAAATAAAGTCTGGAGTTTAGTTAACAGACATGTACTAATGTTGGTACATTATATATTTTGACAAATATATCATGGTAATATAAGACGTTAATAGGAGAAGCTGGGTGAGAGGTATATGGAAACTTTTTTTTTTTTTTTTTGAGACGGAGTTTTGCTCTCGTTACCCAGGCTGGAGTGCAATGGCGCGATCTTGGCTCACCGCAGCCTCTGCCTCCTGGGTTCAGGCAATTCTCCTGCCTCAGCCTCCTGAGTAGTTGGGATTACAGGCACGTGCCACCATGCCCAGCTGATTTTTTGTATTTTTAGTAGAGACAGGGTTTCACCATGTTGACCAGGATGGTCTTGATCTCTTGACCTCATGATCCACCCGCCTCAGTCTCCCAAAGTGCTGGGATTACAGGTGTGAGCCACCGCGCCCGGCCCCGGAAACTCTTTATACTATCTTTGCAACTTTTCTAAAAATCTAAAATTATTCCAACATAAGGCCGGGTGCAGTAGCTCATGCCTGTAATCCTAGCACTTTGGGAGGCCGAGGTGGGTGGATCACCCAAGGTCAGGAGGTCAAGACTAGCCTGGCCAATATGGTGAAACTCCATCTCTACTAAAATACAAAACTTAGCCAGGCGTGGTGGTGCGTGCCTGTAGTCCCAGGTACTCAGGAGACTGAGGCAGGAAAATTGCTTGAACCTGGGAGATGGAGGTTGCAGTGAGCCAAGATGGTGCCATTGCACTCCAGCCTGGGCAACAAGATCGAAACAACATTTTTTTAAAAAAAAAAGTAATTAAAATAATTCCAAAATAAAAAAGCTTATTTAAAAATAAAATGAGGTTTGGTCTCATCAAGAAAGCTGGAAACCATGCATAATAAATCGTGCAGCACCAAAAACACCCTGGATCACAATCTCCAAGACCAGCCATGAATTGGAAATTACCTGTTTGGCTTTGACACCTTGTCTGTGACAGATGACAGGATGGGGATATGGAATGGGTGACTCAGCTCGAATGGACCCTTCACACACACCATCCTGTCTCTCCTCATCACAGCCCTGTGTGTGACATTGTACTAGAGAACTGGACCTGTGTCACAGAGCTGGGGCAAGAGCCCAGCATGCAACTCAGGAGCACCCTGCCTCTCATGGACAGCTCGGGGACAAGCCGACTGGAGGCTGTAGATCCTCAGAGGCCCAGTCGTAGGCAGCCCACTCGAGAAAGCCGAGATTGGAATGAACAAACATTTTGCATCGGTGATAATAAAGAGTGGCTCAAGTGCATCGTAACCTGTCAGTTTCTTCATGTAAAAAATGCAGCTATCCCAACCTTGGGGTTGTTGGGATGCTTAAGTCAGATGATGCATGTCAAGGATTCAGCACAGTGCTCAGCACACAGGAACAGGCTTTTTCCTACATTTCACCTGACTTTATCCTCTCTGCTCTGTGGGTAAAGCATGGTTACTACTGTGTCCATGCTATAGGTAAGGGAGCTGAGATATGGCAAGGTCAAAAGCCTTATCCAAAGTTCCCTGGGCTCCCTCTGTACCTATCCCAAAGTAGGCATCCCAGCAAGACAAAGAATAATAAACAAGTGAGGAAGATTACCTGGTGAGGTGAAATTCACAGACATGGATGGGCCATCTTCATTCATATTTGCATTAGGAATATTATGGGCTCCAATGAAATAGACTGTGTTCAGCTCCACAGGGAAGCCTATGTAGGAAAATGTCCACTGAAAGGCAAAGCAAGGAACTCTCAATTCCCAAAACACTGTGCAATACAGAAACTGTAATACTTTTGTGTGTTGCCCTTTTACTTTGTGTTTCATTACTTATTCTGTGAGAACTTAGGTCTCTGGCCAATGTCCACCGAGGAAATGGGCACCACACAATTTATAGACTCAGAGAAGTGTAAAGTTTTAAAGCCAGCATATAATTGAAGTCCAGTTCTCTTCCCTTCGCTGGTAGGGAAAAACAGAGATGCTGACTTACCAAAGGCACAGAATAGAGAAGTAGCTAAAAACGGGATTGGAACTCAGGCATCTTTTTCCAAGCTCTGAGTCAGAACTATTTTCTAGCCTGTGTGAGCAGTACATCATCCATGCTCCCCTAACAAAGGGCCTAGCTTTCAGCAGCAATTAGCCAAATGCATACAAGTGCCTATGGCTGGGCGCAGTGGTCATACCTGTAATCCCAGCACTTTGGGAGGCTGAGGCAGGCAGATCGCTTGAGCCCAGGAATTCAAGACCAGCAACATGGTGAAACCCCATCTCTACAAAAACTATAAAGCTTAGCCAGGCCTGGTGGCTCATGCCTGTATTCCCAGCTGCTTGGAGGCTGAGGTAGGAGGATTGCTTGAGCCTAGGAGGTTGAGGTTGCAGTGAGCCATGATCGCACCACTGCACTCCAGCCTGGGTGATAGAACAAGACTATCTCTAAAAACAAAACAAAACAAAATGAAAACCAAAAAAGTGCTTACTTTGCCGCCAGAGGGTCTGGTCTGAGTCTGGAAGGCCTCTGTGTAATTGCACCTCACACAGCTGTAGGACTGGAAGTTGCTTTTGCCCGTCACACATATCTTGGTGGCCTTCAACAAGCGGATGCTGGCTGCCGAGATGGGAAGGAGGACACTGGTTTATTTAGCACTTGCTATGTGGCTGACTTGATGCTAGATGCTTTACTAGCACGTTTTACTTTATGTCTCAGTTCATATTAACAACAGCACTGAAAGGTAGGCACCACTGTCTGCAGTTTACAGATGGGGATCATGAGGCTTAGGGGTTTCAGGGAGCTCTGCTTAAACTAATAAAGCTCACCAGCACCAGATTCAGATTCTAAAGCCCAGGCTCCCTCCTCCTCACAGGTCAGCCTGAATTTCACAGGATGCCTGCAAAGATGTCTGGGTCTCTTTTAAGAGGAACAGGCTGGCCTCCGGGAAGCCCACAAAGACCCTCTAAGAGTGTCATCACCAAACCACGCCTGTTCCGACTGCACCTTTATCCATGCTGATTCTTCTTCCTGGAAGGTCCTTTCCTCCCATTCCCTACCTCTTCAAGTCTCACTCCTTTAAAGTCCAACTCACTCATGCACCACAGCCTATAACCACAGCTGACAAAGAGCTCACTGTGCCAGGTAAGGCTCCAAACCCTTATGGCTCCATCTCACCTAAAACAGCCTCACAGGGCCCCTTTCCCACTCCTCCCACGGTATCCCACTGAGATGGAGCACAGCTCCCTTCTGGGACTCCCCTGACTGTGCCTGTGTCTGCCTCCCCTACCCCTCTGAATCCTCCTAGGTGGAGACTGTAGGTGACTTGCTGTGCCTGCCACTCATGGATTCTTGACTGAATAGACATTTTTCCGACGTGAATTTAGCAGATGGAAATCAAAAGGATGGGTAATTAGGATCCCAGGAGCAGCTCACTTGAAGAACTCACATGGTACCTTGCAGCACAATCTTGGGGAAATGCCAAGTTTCACGACATCATCTGGGAAGTGAAGAAGTAATCTAACTAAGCCAACGCTTTCCCTAAACCAGAGTGGGGTGGGAGAAATCATCTCAGGCCTTACCTTATCTTCTTCCATGGAGTACATACAGAGAAAAGTACACAGATCATAAGTGTACCACTTGATGCGTCGGTACACTCACGCGACCAGTATGCAGGTTAAGAAACCCCCCAGGCGTGCCCCCCGTACTTCCTTTCAGTCACTCCTATCCCAACAGGACCTACTATCCTGACTTCTTTTTTTTCTTTTTCTTTATTTTTACTTGGTGACTCTGCATATATTTTCAAACAGACTTTTTTCTTCTTTTTTTTTTGAGACAAAGTCGCTCTGTCACCCTGGCTGGAATGCAGTGGCACGATCTCAGCTGACTGCAACCTCCACCTCCCAGATTCAAATGATTTTCCTGCCTCAGCCTCCCGAGTAGCTGGGATTACAGGTGTGTACCACTAGGCCTGGCTAATTTTTGTATTTTTAGTAGAGTTTTAACATGTCTGCCAGGCTAATCTCGAACTCCTGACCTCAAGTGATCCGTCTACCTATGCCTCCCAAAGTGTTGAAATTACAGGTGAGAGCCACTGCGCCAGGCCTTTTTTTTTTTTTTTAAAGACAGAGTTTTACTCTGTTGCCCAGGCTACTGGAGTGGAATGGCGTGATCTCAGCTCACTGAAACCTCTGCCTCCTGGGTTCAAGCAATTCTTGTGCCTCTGTCTCCTGAGTAGCTGGGATTAAAGGCGCTCACCACCATGCCTGGCTAATTTTTGTATTTTTAGTTGAGACGGGGTTTCACCATGTTGGCCAGGCTGGTCTCGAATGCCTGGTCTCAAGCAACTCACCCACCTTGGCCTCTCAAAGTGCTAGGAATACAGGCATGAGCCATTGCGCTCCACCACTATCCTGACTTCTAACCAATGGATTGGTTTTTGCCTGTTTTGCACTTTCTGTAAATGGGATCATATGGCGTGTATGCCTACAGGCATGCACACAGATATAAATGTACAAACTCTTTTGAATCTGCCTTCTTATGTTTGTGAGATTCATCCATATTGTTGTGTGTAGTTATAGATCATTCATTCTTGTTGCTGTAAGGGAATTTATTTGGTGATTTCTCTCTACTGCTGGGCATTTGAGTGCTTTCTAATGTCTGTGATGAGTAGTGCCACTAAGATCATCCTAGTATGTGCCTTTTGGTGCATGCATGTATTTCTGTTGGTTACGCCTAGGAGTGGAATTAATGGTTCATATAGTCTGCACATTTCTGGTTTAGTAGACACTTTCAGCCTTATCTTTGATGGATGCAAACTTACCATCTGCCCGGAGTACCCAGCTTATATTCATCAAAATTGAATAGTCCCCTGTTGCAACATTCATTTTAACAGTTTCCACTCGGACGTCCTTCAAGTCTCCAGGGGTTAGATCATGTTGTAGCATCCACTCTGGAGACGGCCCTGGGAAAAGGCAAGACTTCCAGGACACTCTCCTTCCCAGACCAGTCTGATGCCATCTCCTCTCAGTGACCCACCGCAAACCTTCCCCCATTCACAATTCCTCACTTCTTTCTTATTTTAAATTTTTGTAGAGATGGGGTCTCACTCTGTTGCCTAAGCTGGTCTCAAACTCCTGGTCTCAAATGATCCTCTTGCCTCAGCATCCCAAAGTGTTGGGATTATAGGTGTGAGCTACAACGTCCAACAATTCCTCACTTCTTCCTGCTAAGGCCAAATGTTTCTTAGTACTGGCTGATTTATATCAGAGACAATGTTGATTTAAGAGAATCAATGTTGATTTAACCACCTGGCCTCTACCTACAGAGCACTTAATGACCACTCCAGGTGCCTGTGTATATACATAGGTATATATATTTAGTGTACTTGACATGTTTATTAGTCATCCCTGTCTTCCTCATGCCTTGGCCCTGGACTCCAGCCAGCTGTCCCACACAACCCCCTTTCCCACCTCCTAACCTTTGCTGTTGCCATCTCTCCTCCAGCTCACTTTCCTTACCCACATTTTTTGGGCAGAAGCCTACCTATTCTTCAAATACCATCATCTCAAACACTCGCTCTTCTTTGAAACGTTTGCTTCTTGATCCCAACTTTAAACGACCTTCTTCCCACGGCCTCTGTCTCCCTCTGCAGAGTGGCAGGCATCACTTTCCACCTTGTAAGGTAAGGCCTACCCTGACTGGACAGGAGGCCAGTCTGTCTGAAACACTCTTCTTTCCCCCAGACCCCAGAGTTCTGCCTTAAGCAGACAGAGACTTCATTTGCATCAGCCAACAAAGCAATGGTTCACCCTGTGCCTGGTCTTTGATAACCTATTGCCTGTATTTAGGCATCCTAAAAGTCCAACTGTGCTTTCAATGTAAAGCTCCAAATACCCATTCTCTAATGCACCTACCAGTTTCAGAGCCACATTGAATGGTCTGTGGGAGAGAAAAAAAACGAGCGTCATGCTGAAGCCATCAAACCACAAGCTTTCCTTTGCCAAATTAGGCAGAACACCATTTTTCCCTTAAATTCATATACGAGTGACAAACTTTCAAAGAAAAGTGAACTGGTTCTGCTTCACAGCTTAGGGGGAAACTAAGCTGCCCACTGTAGGCTATGATGGACCATGGATTAGCCATCAGTATACCTCATCCTCAAGCCTGTGCATAACCTCACTAAAAGACCAGAGGTGGGTCTCCACCTGTCTCTGGGTGTCAGCCTTCCCTGCTGCAAGCAGGGGATGACTCAAGACTGATGAGAGGCACCTTTACACTCTAATGTTTAACGCTAAGTTTTTAGGTTGGCCTGGAGTGTTTACCGGCTTTCCCCAGGTTAAGGAGTAGCTATGCTAAAGAGATAAACAAAAGAAAGCTTTGAATTCAGTCGCAAGGTACTTCCCTCAGGTTCTTTAAAATATTCCCCTTCTAACACAGGACTCACCGAGCAATTTAGGAAACCATAAGCAACTGTGATTGCACCATATTATCTTTTTTTTTTTTTTTTTTGAGACAGCGTTTCCCTCTTGTTACCCAGGCTGGAGTGCAATGGCGCGATCTCGGCTCACCGCAACCTCCGCCTCCTGGGTTCAGGCAATTCTTGTGTCTCAACCTCCTGAGTAGCTGGGATTACAGGCACGCACCACCATGCCCCGCTAATTTTTTGTATTTTTAGTAGAGGCGGGGTTTCACCATGTTGACCAGGATGGTCTCGATCTCTTGACCTCGTGATCCACCCGCCTCGGCCTCCCAAAGTGTTGGGATTACAGGCGTGAGCCACCGCGACCGGCGTACCATATTATATTTTTAAAAGAGCTGCCAAAAACTAAATATTATTATTAGTGTTTAAGAAAGGCTGGTACTAAATCTTTTGAAATTAACTGCTTGTGTTTTTTCGTAAGAAAAGATAATTTGTGCTTTGGTTCTGGAATAAAATACTGAACCTAAAATATTGAGCCTTTAGGCAGCAGCAAGTTCAAATGACAAGATCAATGTGATATGTCCAGCAGCTCTGTAATCTGACCCTGCTGAGCATCCACATTTCCAAACACCATATAAGACCTCCTTTGGATGGTTTGAGTGATTTGAGTTTGGGCAAAATTGCCAATCATTTGTCTTTTAAAAAAAAAAGAACTCTAAGGGATAGCATCAGACTTTTTTCTTTTCTTTTTTTTTTTTTTTGAGACAGAGTCTCGCTCTGTGGCCCAGACTGGAGTGCAGTGGTGCGATGTTGGCTCGTTGTAACCTCTGCCTCCTGGGTTCAAGTGATTCTCCTGCGTCAGTCTCCTGAGTAGCTGGGATTACAGGTGCCCACCACCCTGGCTGGCTACTTTTTGTATTTTTAGTAGAGATGGGTTTTCACCCTGATAGCCAGGCTGGTCTCAAACTCCTGAGCTCAGGTGATTGATCCACCTGCCTCCGCCTCCCAAAGTGTTGGGATTACAGGCGTGAGCCACTGTGCCCAACCAGGCTTTTCTTTTTTCTTTTTTTAATAAGCCATCATACCAGCGGCTGAGTTCTTATCAAAGGCCTAGTGAGACAAGCCAAGCAACAACCCTAAATGCTACCAAGCTCAAATTGTTGGCCTTGTAGCAACTACAGCAAAAGGAATGTATTCTTCCCTCCAGTGCAAAAAGCCGAGGGAGCCTCTGAACTGACACAGAGGGGAAGGATAGGAGCTGAAGACATCAGGAAACAGTGAATGGAGTTTTTCCGCTAACAGGTAACTACCGAGCTTGATGCTATATGCTATATGCTAAGAGGGCAGAGGTATCATTTCAAAGGTTATTTAGGGGATGAGCTATTTTCTCTTCAGTGACCTAGAAGATTCCCTGTCATTCAGGGCACTGGGGAAGAAAGGAAACTGCCTTCACGAATGAAGAAGGCAATCAACATGGCCAAAAAGGGAGGGAATGCTAGTGGAGAAAGTTCTTATGCTCCAACAGGTGAGCAGACCCCAAGTAACAGTAACTAGTGCCGACTACGTGCCAGGCCCCTTGCCGTCGTCGTTCCTTAAGAGGCCCTGGTGGGTTTGGTACTGCCCTTCGTTTTACCGTTCAGGACTTGAAGCGTGGTGAGCATAAATCACAGAACCAACAGTACAGGGTGGCATCTGACGCCGGGTCTGCCTGATTCCCACGCCCCTGACTCAAGCAGCCTGACGCCGGCCGATGTCGGGGCTGCCCAGAGGGTACAGGCGTGCCCCTCTAGCCGACGGTCCGCGCACTCTTTCGGGGCAGCCTCGGCACGCGGGTCAGACGACGTCAGGATCTGGGCTCCAGGGCTAGGAGACCCGGTAAGGGGTGCTGACGGGGGCTTACCGGCTCTCGGGGTACGGCGCTCCTGCACAGGGCGGCCAGGCTCAGCAGCACGAGCGACATCGCGGAGCTACCGCCCGGGACCCCGGCAGGCCGCACGCTGCGCTCTTATCCCGGTGCCCCGGGGCCGCCCCTTCTCGGCTCCGCCTCTCGCAGCGCCGGCCCAGCCCAGCCACCCGAACAGAGGGCGGGCCCGCCGGCCCCCTCCCATCTGGGCAGGTCGCCGCGCTCTCGCCCGCAGGGGCTCGGAGGGGTGGGCTGTCTCCGCACCGGCAGAGCTCGTGGCGCGCGCCGGCCCCCGCGCACACCTGCGTGCAGTGAGCCAGGTGCCCCGCCGCCTCCGCCCTCGGGCCGCGCGCGCCCCGCCCGAGCCTGGCTAGCTTGGCGTCCAGTTAGCTGCCCCGGGGCAGACCGGGTCGGAACGGCCGCGTGCCCCTTCCGGACGCAGAGAGCGCGCGGGGCGCCGGCTCCGGCGCCGCCGGTTAAAGTGTGGAGGAGCAGGGGCCGGGCCCAGCCGCCCGCTCCGGGCCTCGACTGTCGGGCCCTCGGCCGAGCCGCCCCGGGTGAGTAGCCGCGGATGCGCCACGACCACCCCCGAACCCGCCCTCAGCGGCGCCGCCAGGCCGGGAGCCCAGAGAGGCCTGGGGACCAGAGGCCAGGCTGGACGCCGAGACCTGGGCTCGCTTTACACAACCGCCCCGTCCCGCGTAGTGAAAGGGGTGGAACCGGGGCTGCGGAGGCACACGGACTCCTTGGAGGGGGCGAGTTCTTTCAGCTACGCGGTGTTAGAGCGGTAGGAATGCCCAGCGCCGACCCCAGGCTTTCTGGTAAATGCCTGTTTCCACCAAGTGAGTTCGGACAGTAGCACCTGGGGCTCCCGGAGCGGAAGCCGTCAGCACTGGCGACTTGGAGCTGCAGTTCTCAAGTTTCCCTGGCCCGGGATCTCTGAGCGCCGCCTAAAATGAAATCCGGACGGCGAGTCCGGGCCAGGCCTGGGATCTGCATTTAAGCAACCTCAACCCAAGCCCCTGTAATTCGTGGGTGGGTGGCCCCGGGACCATCCTTTGAGGCGCAGTGGTTTGGGGGAGAGTTCACAAAGATCAGCTGGGCTAACAGTGGAGTCAGAGGCTGGACTGCGGTGACCAACTCAGGGCCATTTAAACTTGTAGGTGGAATTAGCTCCATTCTACAGATGGGAAGACGGAGTCCTAGAGAGGGGTATGGTACTTAGGGATGTGTTGTCAGCTGGTGAGAGGTTGTGCTGAGTCAAGCAGCTGTTTTAGCTGAGGCTCTACTTGTGTGTCAGGCCTGGCCCACCTACCAGCTTGGTTAGGGCTTGCGTGGAGTGGGGATCAGCCAGGGGTTTGGGCTCTGGCGTGCAAACGTGTGGAGCTGCAGGTAGCGTTCTCGGAGAATTGTTCTGGTTCCTGACCAGGGAACTCAGTTGAGGTTGTGGCTGGGGGCTGGGCCACCCTGAGCCCCTCATTCCACCTCTGAGTTGCTTTGGGTCCTGTGGCCCCTGAGAAGATTTTCAGCTCTAAGTACACCTGCTGGGTGCCAGGTGCAAAGGTGAACGACACATAGGTGCTGGCTCATGGGTATTCCTGGAGTGAGGATGAGCGCCGTGAGGAGTATATTCAAGGACACAAGTGCCCGCCCTGCTGCGGAAGCCCAGATGAAAACAGCCTCGTCTGCAAGTTCAAGACTGTGAACTTTGTCCCGTGGTGCTGAGGACCAGTGCTATGGGCTTAGACGGTGGTCAGTTTTCAGTTTTAGAAAACTGCCCCTGCAGGGCAGATAGAGGGCTAGTCCTTCATTCCGTGAGTATCTGATTCTGTGCTGTCGGCCAGGCTCCAGACTGTGCTGGCTTTTCAGCTGTGCACCAGGGCTGGCCCTGCTGCGGTGAGCTTGGTGCTGATGGGCACATGGGCTTTGAGACAAGCAGGGATGCAGAGGTTAGGCCTGGAGACAGGGTTTGTGAGTCAGACTTTCTTAGGAGTCAGTAGGGAGGAGAGGAGGATGGAGCCCTGGGGAGGAGAGCTTTCGAGAGGAGTTGGGGAGATCTGGGAGGGGCTGCAGCAAGAAAGCCCAGTAGTGAGGGAGGAGCTTGTGGGGTCAGATGAGGTAGAGAAACCAAGGGCACTGGCCTGAGGCTGGTTGGTGCTGTTCTGGCTTCAGAATGACACTGCCCTTGCTGGCCCCCCTGGGGCTTAGGGATGGGTGATACGGGGCTGTGGAGTGGGGAGTGGGAGGGGAGGGTGTGAAGGGCCCTGAAGCCACAGCTGGAGGTTGAAGTGGACAAACAGGGTGTGTCTGCCTGTCCCCTTGGGGGATTTTCTCCCTGCAGAAGGCCATGCCTCAAGTGGCCTTGCATGAGAGGTCCCACTTGGCCTACCGGAAGGGACGTGATTTGTTTGGCTGCCTAAGCCAGATAACTTTGTGGCGTTTTGAACTGGAGGCCCTGGCAAGTCACTGCTCTTCTCAGAACTGTCTCCTTTTCTGTACAATGGGGTGGTGATAGGGGCAATGAAGTGATTTGAGTCTATGAGAGAAGCGACCTTTGGAGATTTTCTGACTTTCTCCCTTCGGTCATAAATTCTGCTAGGTCTGGGTTTCTGAAAGAGCTACCCCACAGTGTGCCTTCCTATCTGGGGGATTAGTAAGTGCTCATTAAATGCTTGAATGGATGAATAAATTAACACATACCTTCCTCCAAGGCCAGTGCCGGAGCCTGCCCACCCAGGGGAGGTGGTTTGAACTTCCTCCTGTTTCTTCATAAGCAGAGCAAAGGTCAGGGCCTCTGCCAGAGCCTGGAAAACCACTGTGTCAAGTCCCCATGGCTCTGACCCAGACCCTCGGGACAGGCTCTGTGCAGCCACGGCATGGTGAGATGCCTGGCTTCGAGACCACCTGGTTCTGTAACTCAGTCACCATCTGTTGGCCTTGAGTGAGGCTTTTGGTCTTCAGCTTCAGTTTCTCCATCTGTAACTGGAGCCTCAGTTTCTCCATCTGTAACGTGGGGCTGACATCAGTTCTGTCTCCCCAGCAGGGCGGTTAGGAAACTCAGAAGATACAGTAGATAGGAAAGCAAGTTGAAGGATTTACAAGTGCTGCGCAGATTTAGGGGCAGGAGAGGCAGAACCAAAAAAAAAAAAAAAAAAAAAAAGGGAAATTCCCTATGTTCCAAGAATCACCGTAATTCCAGATTCAGTCATTGTTATTCAGACCTTTGCTTCTTGGCCTGATCCATCCCTGGAAGAACAAGGCCATCAGGGTTGTTGACATGTCCCGCGGGTCCAGTCTCCACCCACACAGGTGGAATTTTCCACATCATTCTTTTGCAAATATTAATCAAGGCCCTGGCTGGTCAACAGTGGATTCATTGTCTCATGAAGAGTGAGCCGTTTCTGGCACCTACTGGCTGTCTCTCAGGGCCCCCGGTGGTGAGCCTGAGCTGGGAGGGGAGCTGTTGGGAGCACTCCTTGCCTCAGTGGTCCCTCAACCCCATGTTCTGCTCCATCTGGTTAAGTTTGGCAGGGTCACCTTTAATCCCTGCTTGGAGGGAGAGACCCTGAAGCCACACTGAGGGCTTGCACCCCACTGTTCCCAGCAGGGCTACAAAACTGCATTTTCTCTGCCCCAGTAGGAGGGGCTGGCCCAAGAAAGCCCACAGACTCAGGCCAGGTGTTAACTCATGCTTAATACCACTCCTACTGATTCCTGTGAGGTCACGTACATGTGTCCTGTTCATGGCTGTGGACCCTGTGCCTTGTCTCCTAGGAACTTGCAGTGGTTTTCACATTATTGTTATCACACTGGGGCCTCAAAGGAAGCCTGGAATGCAGAGGACGTAGGTACTATTGTCTTCCTCTCAAAGCTCCATCTGTAAACAGGAGCGATGGGGTTAGCCTCGCAGGGCCGCAGGGAGGACCCTGTCACCCTATGGTGGGCCCTACATTGGGCACATGCAGCAGGGTCGGTGGTATATTTTTTGATCCATGATACTTGAATTTATTTGTTGTCAATAATATTATTGGTCATAGATGTAGCACTGCACTTTATGGAGGAAGAAATGGAATGAGTGAGGGTGTGTAAGAAGAGGGAGGATGAAACTCAGGCCATGCTGTAAGCTTGATAAAATCACCATGTAGTTTTAGGTTCACACTTTTCTTTCCATTTTTTTTGTTGTTGTTGTTGACACAGTATGTAGTTCTGTTGCCAAGGCTGGAGTGCAGTGGTACAGTCTTAGCTCACTAAGCTCAAGCGACTCTTCTGCCTCAGCCTCCCAAGTAGCTAGGACTACAGGTGTGCACCACCATGCAAGGCTAATTTTTTCTTTCTTTTTTTATTTTTTAGAGACGAGGTCTTGCTGTGTTACCCAGGCTGATATTGAGCTTCTGACCTCATGCAGTGCTTCTGCCTTGGCCTCCCAAAGTGCTAGGATTACAAGCATGAGCCGCTGCACCTGGTCCTTTTAATTCTTTGAAGTGTATTTTTAGCTCTTATTTTCTTTTGCCCTCAACAGAGCCTATAAAATGAGTGGTTACATTTTCATTGCATAGATGAGGAAACAGGCCCAGGGATGCTAAACCATGAGTGGTAGCAGAGTGGAGGCTGCAACCTAAGGATCTTCACTACCAGCCACTTTCAGTTCTCTTTTAATGTAGTGAAACGTGAACATGGAACCTCAATGCGTGACACAGACTCAGGCGACCTTCCATATTAGTGTGAGTTTATTTTACTGATTTATTTTGAGATGGAGTTTCGCTCTTGTCTCCCAGGCTAGAGTGCAATGGTGCAATCTCAGCTCACTGCAACCTCTGCCTCCTGGGTTCAAGCAATTCTCCTCACTCAGCCTTCTGAGTAGCTGGGATTACAGGTGCCCTGTACCACGCCTGGCTAATTTTTGGATTTTCAGTAGAGACGGGGTTTCACCATGTTGGCCAGGCTGGTCTCAAACTCCTGACCTCAGGTGATCTGCCCGCCTCGGCCTCCCAAAGTGTTGGGATTACGGGCGTGAGCCACAGTGCCCAGCTGTGAGTTTGTTTTATAACTTTATGCTTGTGATGTGTGTGTGTGTGTGTGTGTGTCATAGTTAGAACAGTGATGCCATTTTCAGGAGCACACTAGAAACCAGGGCCATGAGTGCAGGTTGATGTCTTACACTAGCCCCAGCTCCTGATTTATTTCAGTACTTTAGTGATAGAGTGATTTCCAGTTGATACAAAGAAGCAGTCAGTTTTTCAAACAGCTCACCTTGCAGTCTTAGTCTCTGCAGTTAAACCCATCCAGAAGTTTGAAGGGAAACGGTGGTGGGCGTGTGTGTGAAAGCTGGCTGGCTAACCATGGCTGGCCAAGATGCTTTGACTAACAGGAGCACACGTCACACAACCTGGACCTTGCAGAGAGCTATGATCCTGCACTTTGGCCTGAGCGACAGAGGTGTCTGCTGGAAGTGGCACTGCTTGTACTGCTGTGAAAGTGTGCAAATGAGCACAGAAAATCAAATAGGCTTTGCAGTGCTTGTGATGTATTTATAGGAAATACTGGAGTTGGCACAGCAGACGGTGGGAAGGGAAGCTTTGTCCTGGCATCTCTGGCCAACCTCCTAAGTGGATGGATTTGGGGTCTCCAGGGGATCAATGTCTGGTCCATAACAGTGGTTCTCAAACTCTCCTTGGTGAAAGACTAGATGATTGTTTTTAAAATTGTAATCTTTCATGGGCCAATTTTTAACATATGAAAATTGTTATAATAAAATTGAAGATATATGAAAAGATAAACCCATTATCTGCTTATTAGACTCCACGGACATGAGGCGGCTGTGTTCAATGATGAAACTGTAAAAGTTTATACACTCTGACTTTCGATTCTGTACTTATCTTTCACAGACCATCACAAATAGTGCGTGGGCCAGCCTCGGTCACAGAGTGCACTGTATCCTGTCCCTTCTGGATGTGAGGTGGGTGTTTGTTAACTGAAGTTTTAAAAAATGGGTTAAAAATTTACTTGAAAAAGGAAGCTGGTGATGAGCACTTGCAGAACACCCCAAACATCTGGGGAATTGTTGGAAATCCCTCGTTGTAGGCCAGGCCTGTGCCACAGAAGTGCTCCCACCTCTGTACGTTCCCTCACTCCTCTAGTGAGACCCGAGATGTCAAACAAACAACAGCTACAGAAATCCTTTTCATCGTGGAAGATTTGAAACCTGTACAAAATTAGCCAGAAGAGATGATGGAGATGGGAATTTCATGTTCCCATCACATAACTTTGTTAGCATCACCTCGTGGGGGTCCTGTTTTGTATGTCCTCCTAATCCCTAGGGTGACTGTAAGCCAAATCCTAGATCACTTTTTTGTTTTTGAGACAAGGTCTTGCTCTGTCACCCAGGCTGGGGTGCAGTGGCAGGATCATAGCTCATGTAACCTCAATCTCCTGGGCTCAAGCAACTCTCCCCCCTCAGCTTTCTAAGTAGCTGGGACTACAGTTGTGTGCCACCATGTGCAGCTAATAAAAAATTTTGTTTAAAAAAAAATAAAAAATTTTTGTTTTGTAGACATGGGGTTTCACAATGTTGCCCGAGCTGGTCTTGAACACCTGGCCTCAAGCCATCCTCCCATCCCCACCTCTGCCGCCCAAAGTGCTGAAATTACAGGTGTGAGCCACTGCACCCAGCCTTAAATATTTAACTTTAGATATAGTTGAGTTATCTAAGTACACAAGTTTGAATAGCTTAGAGTATAAAGAAAAGAAAAAAAATAGTTGAATTTTTCTCATAGGTATTTTGAAATGTACGATAGATTGTAACTATAGTCACCATACTCATCTGTCACATACTACATCTCATTTCTTCTGTCTAACTATGTGTTGTACCCGTTACTCAACCTATCTTCCCCCATCCTCCCTACCCTTCCTGAACCCTGATAACTGCCCATCTACCCTCCATCTTCATGAGATCCACTTTTTTTTTTAGCTCCCCACTATGAGTGAGAATGTGATTTTTGACTTTCCATGCTTGGCTTATTTCATTTAACTTAATGACCTCCAGTTCCATCCATGTTGCTGCAAATGACAGGATCTCATTCTTTCTTACAGTTGAATAGTACTCCACTGTGTATAACATTTTTAAAATCTATTTGTCCGTTAATGGGTACTTAGTTTGATGCCATGTCTCAGCTATCGGGAGTAGTGCTGCAGTAAACATGGGTGTGGAGCTATCTCTTTGATATATTGATTTCCTTTCTTCTGTATACCCAGCCCAGTAGTGGTATTGTTGGATTATATGATACTTCTATTTTGTTTTTTCTGAGGCATCTCCATATAGTTTTCCATAGTGGCTGTACTAATTTACATTCCCACAAACAATGTACAAAGGTTCATGAAAGGGTGAGTTTAAACAACATAACCACGGGATCACAGTCATGTCTGACAAATAATGATTTTTTGACATCCTCACATACCCACTCAGTGTTCAAATTACCAGGGTCCAGTCAAGAGCGGCACATTCTCATGGTTGGGTTTTGCTTCTCACAGCCCTTAGGCTTTCCTTCCTCTCTCTCATCTCTCTCTTATTTATCCATTCTATACTTGGATCTGTTGTTGAAGAACTGTGGGGCTTCCCTTTGCCTCGGTTCTGCTGATGGTGATCTTTGCAAGTTGCTCTGACCTTTGCATTTCCTGTGAGTCAGTGGATTGATCTAGAAGTGTGATCAGATTCAGATTTGAACTTTTGGGCAAGGATGTTTTGTAGGTGGTGTTGCATTCTTCTGTTCAGACCCCTGCCTGGACTGTATGGAGAAGTCAGTGTTTTAATTGCCGCCTGGGTGTGAAGTCACCTTGGTGAGTCCCCAGCTGACCCTTGCCCACATCTTTTTTCCTTCTGCTGGTCTGGGCTCCCGCTTGTTCTGAGATCACCCTGGCTGCTCTGTGGAGAGCTGGTTGTGGGGTGGCCTGAGGAGGCATCAGTAGTAGCAGGGACACTTCTAGGATGTTATGGGGAGGGTTCCAGTGGGAGATGATGGGGCCTGATCCAGGTAGTGTCCAAGGGGTGGACAAAAGTGGGCAGATTCTGCAGCGCCAGCCTCATTCTTATGAGAGGAGCTACTGCCCTTAGGCCTTGGCTTCCATTTCTGCTTTTTCTCCCTGGACAGTGCATTTTTATATACCAGTCACATGACAAGCATTTATTGAGTGCCTGCTGCATACCTGGCTCTGAGAGCTTCCAGCTGTCCCCGCTGCTGTCTGTAAGTGAACACACATGGTAGGAAGAGCAGCTCTGTGGACGGGCTGTGCCAGGTGGGAGCTTGCTAACTCGTGGCCTCTGAAGCCTTCTGTGTGCCTGGCATGAGGAGGGCCTTCAGCTCCCCTGGAGAGGGAAGAGCAGCTGTCTTTCTCTTGCTGCTATGTTACTGCGTAAGAGCTGGGACACCAGCGCCTTCTGTCCTCTCCGCCTGCCTCTGGCTGTGCTCTGGCTTACCACGCCCACCTCTCCACTTTCACCTGAGGCCCTCTGTGCTGCAGAGCCCACTCACCCAGGCACAGTGCAGCGCGGAGTGCAGGGACTTCACATCTGGAGCAGAGTGGCTGCTCTTCCTCAGGGGCTGGCCTGGGGCACCGCAGCCACTGACCCCCTAGTCTATCAGGTACTTGACTCTGGGAGGGGCCCCTAAGGGATTCGGGTCTCCCCAGCAGTGACCTCTGTTGCACCCTGCCTCCTACCCATGGCTGGATGCCCATAGCACCTGCACAGACTGGATCCACAGAAACACCTGCAAGGGAAAGAAATGGTAGGCGACCCTGAAGAGCCATCCCTGGAGGTTGAGCGGTCTGGGCCCTCCACCCCTGCCTGGGTGTTAGGACTCTAGGTTTCCAACCTTACATTCTTTTTTTTTTTTTTTTTGGTGACAGTCTGACTGTCTTGTCCAGGCTGGAGTACAGTGGTGTGATCTTGGCTCGTGGCAACCTCTGGCTCCCAGGTTCAAGTGATTCTCCTGCCTCAGCCTCCCAAGTAACTGGGACTACAAGACGCGTGCCACCATGCCTGGCTAATTTTCATATATTTAGTAGAGACAGGGTTTTACCATGTTGGCCAGGCTGGTCTTGAACTCCTGACCTTAGGTGGTCGGCCTACCACAACCTCCCAAAGTGCTGGGATTACAGGTGTGAGCCGTCGCATAGCCTCCCACCTTACAATCTGGTTTTGGTGTAGACTACCGTGAAGGTTTTAAAAACTGGGGAAGCAGCTAGCGAGTGGAGGGGTGCGTGCAGAGGGCAGAGGCCTGGAACATGAAGCACAGGGTTCCCAGGCTGAGGAAGCACCCACTGTAGGGCAGCAGAGGGGCGGCAGGGGGGCAGACTCACAGGCATCGGAGGTGCCCACAGAGGCCAGCGTCCATGCCTTACCAACAGGAAACCCCTGCCCTGGGTCACATGGTGAGGCCTGGCAGAGCTCTGATGCGACGTCAGACATTAGGGCTCCACCTTGGATTTTTGTGGCAGCCTGTGGTGCGTCCTGACCAGCCTCAGCCTTGCCTCATCTGCCCCTCTTCACCAGGAGGATCAGAGGGCAGGAGGGTTCTGCCCAAGAAGCCAGGACACAAGGGGCCAAGTGATGTGGCCTTGTCCACACTGTCCAGAATCATCTCCCAGGTGGCAGTTTCCTATTCAGTTGTTAATTGTGTATCAATATGTGGGAGATAAGATTCCTGGGAAGAGAAACTTGACACTGAAGAAAATGCCTTTTTTTTTTTTTATAGAGAGACGGGGTCTTGCTCTGTTGCCCATGCTGGAGTGCAGTGGAACAGTGCTCGCTCACTGCAGCCTTGAAATCCTGGGCTCAAGTGATTCTCCTGCCTCAGCCTCCTGAGTAGCTAGGACTACAGGTACACACCACTGTGCCTGGCTAATTAAAAAACAAATTTTTTTTAGAAAAAATTTCTGGGTCTCGCTATGTTGCCCAGGCTGGTCTTCAGCTCCTCAGTTACATCTAGCAATCCTCCTGCCTCAGCCCAGAAGATGCTTTCAGAAAAACTGTTTTACACTTTTTAATTGAGGTGCAACAGTTATACAGTAAAGTGTACCTCGCGCTGGTATTGCTCTGTGTGTATGCTTGGGTAACCATTACCACGTTTGGATCCAGAACATTCCCACAGGGTGCCTTCTGTTGGTCCTGGCACAGGTGTATGAGCTCAGCATCCATATCTCAGACTGCCCAGGTTGGGTTTGCTGTAGGCCTTGTGTAGCCTCATCCTCTGCACGTGTCCCCTCAGCCAGCATGACAGAATGCCAGCCTCAGGCCAGGCTCAGCACTCAGTGGGAGGCAAGGGCGTGGAGCCCTCAGCCAGGGATGCGGGCCTTCCACAGCTCATTTCATTGTTAGCCTGTTGAGGTCCCAGTAAGTGACACAGAGAAGTCCCAGGATGGATGTGATCAGTGGTGAGGAGGGCTTTCCAGGAAAATCAAGGCCTAGGGGAAGGTGAGGAGTGAATAGGTGAAAGGAGGTTAGGACCTGTACCTGGAGGAGGGAACAGCATGTGCAAAGGCCCTGGGGAGGAAGGGAAGGTGGACCATGTGCCTGGAGCCCAGAGAGTGAGGCTTACAGTGGGATAATGGCTACAGAGGCAGGGGCCTAGCCTGGTCAGGCTTAGGACAAGAGGGCCTGGGGGGCCATGAGGAAGCTTGTCCCACTGTCTTCAGGAGGTGGAGGACCTGGGTAGGGGATGGCATGAAGTTCCTGTGGGAGGAGGAGCAGCTGCCCAGGGTTACTCCCTGGACCACCACAGCCTCTGGGCCCAGCCAGGTTCCATTCTCTAACTGGGATCCTTCCCACCCTTGGCCACTGTACTACATTCCCCTCAGCCCACCACAGGGCTGGGTATTCAGACAGTTGTGCTCCTGGGAAGCTCTGCTGGGATGCAGAAAAGCAGCCAAGCCTTCTTGGCTTGAGACCCCTGGCATGGGAAC